TTTTTTATGGCATAAGCCGGTAAACGAGCAGACGGATCACCTGTTGGTAAGCAATCGGCGTCGCCCATGGACACCTGGAACATCAGAGGCGTTCGAAGTGCGTACCGGCCTTTTGGGGATTAGGAGTTTGAGGATTGTTGGGGATTCAGGGATTGGGGAGATTGGGGAAGGGGAGGGTAATTGGGCCTCCGGTAACTTCACTCACACGACGAAACACAACGCAAGCGTTGCTTCACGTCGGTTTTCTATGAGGCCGTGGTATCTCTCCGGTCGAGTCGGCTCATTCGTGCCGAAGCTATGGCTCTCCCACACTTAAAACAATTTTAATGACAATCAACTCACACTCACGTACTTATTACACAAGCTGTGTGACACTACAATTTCCCCTAAGAACGTTATAATCCCCAGTGTATGGAATAGAAACCGTCTGTCTGTCGGTCTCTCATTAAAACAAAGTGTCCACAGACCACAACTCGACTCGTATCCGTTCACCGTACACCGTAATCATTGTAAATTAGTTTTGCGAAACTTTGAAGAAACTATCCGCGGTAGCGTGCGTTCTTGACTATAATAATGGAGGGTGTAATGATGAGCCGAGATTATAGTTGTGTATAATACTAAAAGAACTTATTATAAGTTTTGTTTTCAAAGGATCTCTTTAAACAATCTATGTATATGTATAAGTTAACTGAATCTGTCGGTATCTAACCCTGTATATTTCAAGAAGAAAAAAAACGATAGATTCCACTTTTCGCGGTGCATTACTGCAGGAGACAAAGTGAATTAAGCCTAAAGGCACAAAAAAAAACTGTACAACAGGGTGAAGCCCAGTCGCCAAGCACCACGGAAATTTGACTATAATCTAAGTGGGTCCTAAGTAAGCTGTAAAATATCGTGGCGTATATTCAATATCGTATAAGTGGAATGTTTTTTTTTAATGGGACAACCCCGCCTCATCCTCCTAAAGCCGTTGCAACTCCTGTAAGCCAGGATCTACAGTAGATACGGTCGGTCGAGTTATGTATAACTTTTTACGTATTTCAATATGTATCCTTCGATTTCTAATACTTGTAATTAACAATGATATATACTTATTATACGTAACCGACAGCACTGAAAATGAATGTAAGTGTGTACATAATGTACTTATAATCAATTTATTATTCAACATATAGGTAACTACGTATAAATTGCAGCACAATAGCGCCACGAGGGACCTTACTACGAATATTTGTAGTGAATATAAATAGAGTTAAATTGGCTCTATAATAGCCATCAACATTGCCTAGCAATTCGGCAGCCAATGATCCAACAGGCCAAAATCCATTACGTATGATATTAGAGGGCCTGCAAATACGAGGGACTTTGGTATAATGTTTCTTAATAACAGATCTTTATTAATAAAAAATACTCCGAAAAGTTAGGCCCTTGGCTGTGTAGGTCTTAAAAATTAAGAAACTAATGGAGATTACTTATTTCTTTCACATCTTCTGTAGTTGTTCAATAAGCATCCTTGAAAAGATGAAGAATTAATTAATTGTCCTGTCTTAATTAAATTGTTATTTCAATTCGGTAATTCGATTGTCTGTTCTGACATATGAGAATTTATGACGAATTCGTCCATTTGTGAAGTTGGCCGTTTTCGTTATTAAATCTCCTTTCTATGTTAGGTTGATCTGATTTGCGAGAAAATATCAGAAAATATTTATTTCATGCTTTCTTCTTTTAACGATTTTATTGTTAACAGAGAACTCACCAGAAAAAGTTAATATATTAGAAATTATATTGTGGACCTAAGAATTATTCCTTAGCATTAGTTATTTTCTCTAGTAGGTACATTAGTCGTAACAGTACCTACTCATTCCTTCTTCACCTTGTTACAGGAACCAAAAATGTTGGAAGGAACGAAAATCAACTCTCCGTCACAAATGGCGAGCGTTTTCGACATCGCCAAGGACACAGTGCTGTTCCTAGTCCTATCCTGCTATTACATCCTGGAGTCGCTATTCTGGACCTTAGTGCCTAACGCAATAAGACCTATGAAGAGCCTCAAGGGTGATGTGGTGTTGGTAACTGGAGGCGGTGGCGGTGTTGGTCGCCAACTCGCCGTTAAATTGGCCAGGCTTGGAGCCAAGGTCGTAGTTTGGGACATCAGCAAAGAAGGTTGGTTCTATGATCAATTAGGTTTCCTTTTTAGGTGTACGAGTAGGTCGGGGACAACGTTAGACTGGTTTCCTTTTAGGCAAGTTTATGCGGCTACTGGCAGTAAGTTGTACGATATTTACTGTCGCGGTAAATTATGTTTGTACCTAATACTTACTATACTGCTTATAGGTACATACCTATCTACAGTACAGTACAAAAAACAATAACATTATTAGTTACATGTGCTTAACAATGTATGTACATCGTTAGGTACGTCCTGCGTATGCTTAAGAAACAATGTAATTTTATTATGAAGTAAATTACGCTCTATTAAATTATACTTAGGTAGATTTAAAGTAAAAGTCTTAAGTACTTATGTACCTAAGTTCTTGATTATAGTTAGGTTCTTATAGTATAGATGTCACCTAATTAGAAAATTGCATAAATGAATCCACTTAAATCCAGCAAACAGCTACTTATCTATTAATACAAGTTTTTGTTGATTTTTTTAACTGACCAGGCTCGATACTAACACTACAAACTCTAACCCTGTCTCATTATATAGTATTAATAAATAATAATCAATTAATCCCTTTCCAGGTTTACAAAAGACTTGCGCGGCGGTTATTGATGAAGGCTACGAAATCGCGAGCTACGTCGTAGACCTTGCAGATCGTAGCGCTGTCTACGCAGCCGCCGAGAAAGTAAAAAAAGAGGTAGGTAACTGTTGTTTTAAAATTATTTATTTACAGAAGTTACAGCAAACGTAGCGTTCACGTAGCGACTTGCGTTGCGTTACATGGTTCGAGCGTAGCGTAGGCGTAGTTTCGAACTCGTTAATCGCCTAAAACTCCTGGAACCAAACAGAATTTTGCTAGGTTTTTTTGATAGTTAGGTAAATAGAAAAAAAACACATGATAAATGAAAGATATGTTTACTGATATGTTTTTTTATGCAGGAATACGTATGTACCTATAGAATATCAGAAGTAGGTAAACTATATGAGTTGAGTGATGAAATAAATAGATGATGATTGTTTTCTCTATTCCAGGTCGGCAAAGTGGACGTGTTGATCAACAACGCAGGCACGGTGTTCGGTGAAACACTGCTGGACCTCTCGGACTCGGCTATAGAAACCACGTACAAAGTCAACATCCTCTCACATTATTGGGTCAGTTTTGTTTAACATTATATTATTAATTAGTACCTTATTAAAGTACAACATCAACAGACTGAGATAATCCACTGCAGGACAATAGGTAGGCCTCCTCAACAGAGAACATTTTTACACAACCTACACCTTTGGCACGTTCTAACTGATCGCTATTTAAAAGGGTAAAGTTCACAGAGTGCTGCTACCCGGTCTCTATGTCGCGGAGAACCTAACGGGTAACCGGGGCTCCGGCTCGACGTGCAGGAGAAGGAACGGGGTGGTTTTTAGTCAGTAAGAGTCTGACACGCCCTTCCGCCTCACCCAGGCGGGAGCAGTAATTCGATGATTTTCTCCCCTTAAAAAAATACCCGGTCTCTGTCAAATATGTAGTCCCTTCACCAGCTTTTTCAACACCTGCAATTTAGTTAGTGGTGACAAAAATGTATTCTATTTTCTATACTCTGACGTCATTGCTAAGAGACAACACTATAGGTACCTTCTGTCTACTTGTCTAGGTCTAACTAACTAAACCCATTTCACATTTTCATTCCAGACAGTAAAAGCATTCCTACCAGACATGATCAGCTCTGGAAAGGGCCACATAGTGACGGTGGGCTCGGTAGCTGGGCTGCTCGGCACCTACCGCTGCACAGACTACAGCGCTACCAAGTTCGCCACCGTCGGCTTCCATGAGAGCCTGTTTACGGAGTTGAGGGTATGAATGATTGAAAACCTTATTAGATACCTAATTTACGTGGTTGCCGCACATCTAGCCTCGTTATGTTTTTAAAATTCATAAGTTATTTATTTATTTAAACAGTCACAACGGCAGAAAATCTAATTACAGTAACTGAATGTTATATGACGTGCCCGATCTAATACTTCTACTGCAAAACACAGGCTAGCGTGTTAGCCCAAGAATAACGCTATCAGGATCAACGTTCTAAGTAACCCTTTCTTTTCTGTTACCTATTACTTTTCTCATCCCCAGGCTCACGGACACACAACAATCCATGCAACACTGGTTTGTCCATACTACATAAACACAGGCATGTTCGACGGCGTCACCCCTCGTCTGATGCCCATGCTGGAGCCCGACTACGTAGCCGAGACCATGATCGACTCCATCAGGAAGAACGAGGTGAACTGCATCATGCCCGGATCTGTCAGATACCTTCTACCTCTCAAGTGGTAAGAGACGCTGTGATTGTTTTTGTTAAGCAGTTTAGTGGGTTTTAAAGATGTTTGTTCAGTTTTAGAAACTTGTAAAACACATAGGTAACTGCAAGCACCCTTGAAAATGTTGTTATACTTATGACTATTATTAATTCCAGCCTGCTGCCAGCGAAAATGTGCTGGGACCTAATGCACAGAGTGATGAAGGGGCCCCAGTCCATGATGGAGTTCAAAGGAAAGCCAAAGGCCGTAGCTAGTTAGACCTTTAGTTTATAGTCGCACAATTTACTTTGTAAATAAGGCACACTATAAAATTTTAAACTATTCGATCATGGAGATCGACTAATCTAGAGATTAAACAGAAGACTGAACGTGTTTTCAGTAGCATTTTAAGTTAAGTTTTTAGTAAATAAATAATAAAAGATTGAATATAATTTTATATATTTTTTATTTCTTAAAAATATTCCGCAATTACGAATATCACAAACATAAATATCTTGGTAGACTTAGATTTACTATCACACAATCAGAATAAGTCGTAGAAGAAATCGAGGCCTTGCCCCAGCTCCCATATTGCTACTCCCGTACCATACTCCTTGGCCAACTCGAGACGTTTTTGTATTGAATATAAAGTGGGGTAGAATATCTTCTTCGTACCCTGAGATGTTCTGGAACAAAAAAGATCAATATTTATAATTCACAGAATTTCCCGGTTTACGGAGCACGCGGGGTCTAGACGAGATTATCACTTCCAGGAATTCTTAAATTTCGTTATAGTGACTTCACTATTATTTTGATGTAAAACGTTAAATATTGCAATATATAAGAAAATTACGGAATTGGCATTGAGATTTCTGGACGTAATATTACTGAAAAGAGTATAATCCTAATCCTACCTACCTACCTATGCCTACAGAAGAAGGAAGAAAACATTTACGATAAGCCGCATAATCAAACGTTGATAACAGTATTAATTAAAGGGAAATACGCACTCTGTTTCAACATGGTTTCGACCGATATTGATAAACATCGTTTGATGCACTGCACAGTAATTTTAATCATCGCATTTGTATATAACTAGAATTATCAATTTAGACAAAACTAAAGACACAAATTAGCAAAAAGAATTAATAATCCCAGTCGTTTTGCTTTCAAAGTATCTCTACATTGTCTATGCTACATTGTCAAATGTAATAATAATTCATTGAAAGAAAAAATTCTAAACAATATTAAGTTTTTAACGTTTTCCGATTCTATAGAAAAGCTAAGGGAGCTAAGCTATATAGAAGTTTAACTCATACAAAATAAATATTAACATACCTTATCTCCACATAGTTCTCAGCCGTATTATTATTATACGACAAAGCTTGATTGCTCTTCGCATTTTTAAGTAACTCTATGTACTCCGTCCCAACAATGGGACCACCACCATTGGCAGTATAAGAGTTTCCATAGAAATTCAGACCTAATAAGATCTTCGACCTCTTTGATGGGTTTTCATCATTGTCTATGAGTTTCTCCACACATAACCTAACCCAGTATAGAGGTGCATTTGGCCCTGAAATAGGATAAATAATATTTTAAGTACTTTTTTAATTTACAAAATTTTCAGCCGTTGAAATATGGTTGAAGAACACCACGAGGCAGAATAGTAAAAACCATTTTGATGCTTGAGAACATTTGAGAGAATTTAATACATTTTTTGCCTGACTTACCTGGCTTTTGTGGATTAGAAAAGTCATAGGTCATGACTGAGACAGCCTCTACATAAGGGTAGATATCATTAAATGCTTGGATGAAGAACTCATCAGTGGGATACCCTCGGAAGGGTGGGTAGACTAGAATAAGACTTAAATCATCTTCACTCATCTCCAAACCTGAAAACAATACAAATGATGGAAATATACTTTGTCTCATCAATCATACAAGCTTTGGCCAGCCAATCTAAAAATTCACAGTCATCAAATAAACTCCAATATTTTCCCAATAACATGCAGGTAAACATGTCATGATTCATGATGAATCTAGCTAGTTCATATTACAAAGTTCTTACCAAACTGCTGTATAAACTTGACCGACTTGTCAACATATTTGCCAATCTGTGAAAGTACTTCTAGTACAACCCCGTCAAACTTCCATTGTTTGCATGCTTTCTTTATTTCTTCTATTAGAGCCTTCTGTTCTGTGTGGGAGGTGGGCTCCATGAAGAATGCCTTCAAGTCTGATGGCTGCCAGTTCTCGAAGAGTATTCTTGGCAACACTGTAACATAATATTCATAGTGTTATAGTTCAAGTATTAAAAACAATTGATATGTGGACATTTTGAAGCCATCTTGATTCCTTTTTATATTAATGTGTTGGTAGTCTAATTTTATTGAATAAAATATAATTTATCATGACAAATAGGATTGAGATCATTACACTTAACATTCTTTACTTTGATACATTGTTGTAGTATTATTTCCAATACTTTGAAGACTTTCAATTCTATTTAATAAATATATTTTTTTACAAAAAATGGCAACCACTTCATGGTTCATTGTATTTACACAGATGAGTTACATTTAACAGTATAATTTATACAGTTATGTTCTAAAGTTAAAAACTTACATTTGAGATTGGTGGTAGAACCTTTTTGCTTGACTGATTTCATCCAGGCATGGTCAACATCATGCAGCCCAGATATAATGTATATGTTGGGAGATTGGCGCTTGATTTGTAGCCAAACTGGGGACACGTAGTTGAACTTAGGAGCCCATGTTTTCGCCACATCATAGCCCTTGTTGTTCCACTGTAAGAAAGGATTTACTACGTTATTTTTTGGCTTGTAAGGAATAGTAGGTAAGGCTTTTGAAATTTCCTACACAGTAAGTTATAAAACATGTAAATACTAATAGATTTCCTTGAAATACTCACAGGCGTAACGTAACCCAAAACAGCATTCTTAAAGTTGCGTGTTGTCACATCCTGGTGGTATGTAGCATGATATTTTATAATATCTTTCACTAAAGGCGATTCATTGACTAACTTTCGATCTAGAACATTATTTTTCCTCGGTCCCTCTTGTGGTTTTACACCCTTCTGCCCCTTCTTATCGGAGGGTGGCGATAACGTCGCGAAACACACATTTAAAAGAAAAATTATCTGCAAGACAGTTTTAATACATTTCATTGTAAATTATTACTTCACAACAACACTAGTTTTCACACACTATCGTCTGTAAATCAGAATAAAAGGAATATTCTAAGCACTTCAACAACAGTCAACAATTTCGCCGGGTGCAGCGTTAGAGATGTCAAAAACATCAATAATGTTGTTATCGATTTTTGTATTTGACATTTGTGACAACTTAATTTAGATTTATTGTTACAACAATGTTTACTAATACCATAACTAGATGAGAAATCTACCTATACTAGCAATTAAATTACGAAACATGTAAGAAAAACTATTTAGTATAAAGATAATAGTGGTATTGATACATCAATATTTGTGTCATCTGATGTCGATAGAATATTGACGTTCCAAGCAATACCGCCTCTCTAGTAACCACAGATAATGCGGATTCGTACGTGTTTCAGATCAGACCTACAGGTTATAGCAAATAGTACCTTACCGAAGTATTTATTTCTATTTGTAATTATAGTAGATTTAGGGTCGATTTTTCAATGATTAACACTGTAGAATAAAATTGTCAGTTTTTTTAGTATGGAAGGATGTAATGGAATTGTCAAATATTGAAAGTTATTCCTTAGCTAAGAGCATTGAATAATTGGTCTTTAATTTCTTATTCCTTTATTATAACTTTCATGATCTTCGTTATGAAAGTAATAAAACTAAAGAAATTAATCTATAAAATATAAAAGAAATATAAAATATAGACATAAACTAGATTTAGTAGTTTTAGATCTTTAAATATTCTATTAGTAGATCTAAAAAATATTTTTATTACATCATTACTTAAATAATCAAACCAATAAAAATATTATTCCTAAGGTGCAAAGAGCCACAGGTAATCAGACTATGTGCTGTTTCTATGTGGCTTCAGTGTAAATCTATAAGCCGTTCGTTAGTCTCGCTAAAACTCGAGAACGGCTGAACCGATTTTGGCTAATTTTGGTCTTGAAATGTTCGTGGAAGTCCAAGGAAGGTTGAATGACCCACCAAAAAATTAAAATTTTAAAATTGATTTGAATGGGGAAGATAACAATTGCTTAATATTTGAAATTGTATCATTACGATAACTAATAATGTCAACTTTACAAGCGGTCCCATGGTGTAATTGTTAGCACTTAGGACTCTGAATCCAACGATCCGTGTTCAAATCTCGGTGGGACCAACTATTTTTGATACTCATCAATGATGATTAATGTAGGTTTGTAGTGTAATGTAACGTGCATCTTCGCGATAATGGGTGGTTTTAAAAATGTATTATAAACTGCGTTACGTAGGACCTCACTTGAGTCCACGCCCAACCTCTGAGTTATTTATTATGGAAAATGTACCTACTCACATTACAAGAACTTTGTACTGTAAACCATATAGATCTAAATTCTAATTATTTTATGTAATAGTAAGTCCATTTCTACACACGTAGGTAAATGTAAATAGCTAACATGGATTGCGAGAACCTATGCACCTAATCGGTATAGTATAATATTGACATTAGTTAATTTAAGTAGATACCTACCTACTACCTATAGGTATAATTATACGGATTGCCGGGGCTCCGGCTCGAAGTGCAGGAGTAGGAACGGGGTGGTTTTTAGTCAGTAAGAGTCTGACACTCCCTCCCGCCTCACTCAGGCGGGAAAAAGAATCGATGGTTTTCCCCCCTTAAAACCTATATAAGTATATCATATGTACCTACATTACTAACTAAAGTAACTAAATACCTACTTACCTACTAATTGTAAAATATACCTACGCATTTTTGTTAAATTTAAAAAATAATCCAAGTTAAAAAAGGCAAGGTTGGTAGAGTAACTTTTAGGAACATATCTAACAAAAGATTGCTATTCGTTGGTATCTCGTGCGTAACAAAGCTTAACCTTATAAGCCACAGCAAACACAAAACGGGCATAAAACAACATTTTTATTTTCCTTTCTTTTCGTACAACACCGCTTCTTCGGCTACTTAGTAAAAGAAAGTAATGTTCGTGTTTGGACGATGTATGAGTTTGTTGATAACTCAGTTCTGTCGCAGACATCGGGCCCACAACATGGCTCCCCAGCTTTCACGGTTACTCATAACTTTCGTAATAACTTATTTAATAATAGGTACAGTGGACTTTCCTTCGCGCGTTCATTTTAAACTTTTGTGTGATCAAGTTTCACTTTGGAATTCATTTTGCAGGGGTGCAAGGTACACATAGGAGCAAACGAAGTTTAACGGATGTAAAGTGTCTTGAAAATGGGAGGTTTTACAGGTATGTTCCTACCTTAGAACTTAACGTACCTAGATATACTTAACTATCTATTTTGTATCCTAAAATATGAATTCCATATAACCAACCGGAAGATATTCGATGCACGTTGAATAATTGACGAATATATTATTATGATTATCCTATCAGGGAAGAGGATCTAGGAAAATTTAACAGCAGGTCTCAACTTTAGTTTTTTTTTTGAGACAAACGACGCACGAAACCCATGACTATACGACACATCTATGTAAAAAACAATTCCAAAATCTAGGTAATTAAAATAAACTCCAAAAGTTATGAAATAGGAAGTTTTTTTTCGTTTAACCATATTATGCTGAAGACAAAAAACTACGTAGTTAACCAGTGATAAATACATGATACATCATTTGGTTGTCACGGACCACGGACATACAAAACTTACCTACTTATCACCATTGAGATATAAGTTTAACTCAATCCCTATCACCCTCATAAGATTGAGTTGTGTGCACCGAAATAAAACAAATACGCAGATACCTATTCTTGATAAGCATCTAATGTAAGACAGAAAAACTTTTCCTTACGTGAAATTTCAAACATCTTCACTATCTATAAGCAACATAGCAATTAAAAAACAAAAGGTTTCTCACGAAAGTCGACAAACGAGGATTTTAACATGTTGTTCACATCACAATAGACTGCTGTGATGGCTCAAGTGGCAAATGACATAAGTTACTACAACATTTAGGAAAATACACTCAGACAAAGAGCCATCAGACACCACAGATGGGGCCCAATAGGGCCGATGCCGATTCGGAGTCGCGGAGAACCTAACGGGTAACCGGGGCTCCGGCTCGACGTGCAGGAGAAGGAACGGGGTGGTTTTTAGTCAGAGAGTCTGACACTCCCTTCCGCCTCACCCAGGCGAGAGCAGTCATTCGATGATTTTCCCCCCTTAAAAAAAAAAACACTCAGTTTCAGCCATTGTCAAAGTACTCGGTTTACATTGTGCTTGAAGTGCCAAACGATTTGTCGACCCTACTGCTTTCGTTTGTATTAGGTTTGTTACTATTTCTTCTCCGTTTATTAACAGCCGACTTTCGGTCACTTGGGTTACCTAGCCAATTTATTTTCTTCGGTTAATAGTCTATTTGTTTTCGTAGCTACTGAGTCCGTTTGTTTACCACTAACTAACAGTACCTATTGCTTAGCTTACCAGTTACAGTAGTCCAGTAATTCCAGACGTCTCAGCTACTTGCGTTTCAATGTCATCATTCAATTTAGTAACTGTGTCAGATGATGAATTACACCAGTTAATCACCATCACAACATCACAATCTCCACTTACTTAAGTACCAAGGTTCTTATTGGCATCATCGTCCGCTGAATTCATGTCTTCGAGGTAGTTGCTACCCTCTTTGCCTATAATAGATAATCCTTAACGCATGCTTAAACCTTTTCTCAGTGCCGCGGAGGACTTACGGGTTGTCGGGGCCCCGGCTTGAAGGGCAGGAGTAGGAATGGGGTGGTTTTTAGTCAGTAAGAGTCTGGTATTCCCTCCCGCCTCACCCATGCGGGAGCAGTCATTCGATGATTTTCCCCCCTTAAAATAACCTTTTCTCAGTAGTGGGTAGTTATAGGCTGATGATCAGTGGTGGTAGTGGAACTATTAGCTTATTGGGTACCTACTACCTACTATGATGTCTATGCTAAAATTATCGGCCAGGTATGCATTATTATAAACCTGTTGTGTTGCCTAAATGTTATGTCAGTAATCGATATTTTTGTTATATCATAAAACAACAGCGAAAGATAATTAAGGCATCACTTTCAAAATGATTTTATGGTAATTTTATTTTGAACCGTTAATTTCGTCTTACATCAATAACTAATTAAATATGAATATAGTAACTCTACCTATAATTACTATTATGACGACAAAATGTGTGTCAAATTGTTACACATAAAACATAAACATAAACATAACATCACGCCCTTTATCCCCGAAGGGGTAGGCAGAGGTGCACATTACAATGTAACACCCACTTTTCACTATTTATGTTATGAGTCCCATGTAATAGGGGGTGAGCCTATTGCCATATACCGGGCACAATTCCAGACTCCGTGCTACTACTGAGAATGTTTAAAAACCCAGTAATACTTTGCCCGACCCGGGAATCGAACCCGAGACCCCTTGCCCGGCAGTCGCACTTGCGACCACTCGGCCAACGAGGCAGTCAAATTGTTACATAAGCCAAAAATCTCATCGGTATGTTAATATCATTCTGGCATTCAGTAATTCTATAATTATTTAAATATCTAGTTAATTACGTTTTGTTTTTATGTAGGAAATGTCTAGACAAAAACTATCTATTACCTATGTATAATTTAATTTATTCGATAGTTTAATTTTTACAAGAAATAATAAAATCGTAAGCAGTTAATTAACATTTCCCAATTCTACCTACGCATTTGATTTTTAGCCATTTATGTAATGTAACTCCTGAAGTCCTGAATGTAACGTGATAAATATATAGGTATCTACGTTTATTATGCACCTAAGTATCATCTAAACATGTTCGTAACACTAACCTATTTACTATCTAACTAAGGATCACGTAGTCAATAGGTTTATCGGTAAGCGCCAACGGGAAATCGGAAGGAAACGTGCACTTTTCATCAGCTCCTAATGAAAATTACATGAAGTGCACTGGTTTATCTTTCTTCCGTAACCGAACGTGGAATATATAACTAGTTAATTGCACGAGCAAAAACAGCGTGTGCGCTGCGTGTTGACTACAGAAGGATGATTTTTCCGCCATTTTCGTAGCGAGGCCGACGACCTCGCGACTTTCGCCGCAACCTTGACTCAGGCACTGCTCGTATCGTATCAGCATTACCATTTCCTACTGCGTCTTGAGAAATTCACTTTCGCTATGCATTTAATCTGTGTAAAATGCATTTCTGTTATAATTGCTTTGTCTATAGTATGATTGCGAAATGTTTGTTTCCTTTTCGTAAAGTGCAAATCCATTATCTAAGAGTTACGTAGATACACACTGAGCAGTTGAGCCGTGAAAATATTGGAGATCTAGACTGTTTTAGACATGTATGTACCTATGTAGGTTCTTAATATCACGTAGTTGGAAGGAAAATTAAAAGTAGTTATCTATTATTTAAAAATTCTTAAATGCTCTTTCAATCCAGGAATCCAGACCGAGCTGAAGATAAAATGTGGACTCTTAACGAGTGTGCAAAATACTATCTGTGTTTGGATGGCGATGTCTTTGAGTTCCATTGCTCGCCCGGCTTGATGTTCGATGTCAACAGACAGCTATGTGACATGCAAGCTAATGTGCACAACTGCGATCTCACTACGGGTACGTCAAGTCAAAGTTTATAAATAAATACAAGTTGTACAAGTGTTACTGGTTGTAAGCAGCCTTAGCGACATTTCTATACCTAATACGACAATGGTTCGAGCCTCGTGGCTATTAAAAAAAGGTCTACCAGCAACCAGTGATTGACAGTAGTGGTGCTGTTGTATGTAGACCCAACAACGAGTAGGAGTAACTACATTTTTTGTTTGAATTTCTGATGATCCTTCCGACCCATAACACTTCGATCTATTTTGCAAATCTCATATTAATTTCAGAGACCCGGATCCCGAAACCTCTTCTAGATGCAGCTGATTGTGCCAATGATACCCACATTGGATGTGCAAATGGCGATTGTATTCCAGCTGAATATTTCTGCGACGGATCCATAGACTGCATGGATTCATCCGACGAGGTAAAGTTCCATCATCATGTTTCAGAACATTAATAAATAATTTCTTGCTTCATTATGACTTGCAAATTATTTAGTAATACTAATCTGTATCATTCAGTTTCTAATCATCACCTTAATTTCTATACTTTCACGATCATTTTATTGCGGTGTCATTCATCTAGATTGATACACAATCACTTTCCATGCCGTAGGGTTGGTGCGATGTGAATTACGATCCGAATGCAGCAGAACCATGTGACCCTAACATGTGCATGCTACCGGATTGTTTCTGCTCAAAACATGGCGATGAAATCCCTGGAAATCTAGTTCCCAGTCAGGTAAAACTTAGTTCACAAAATTTCGATTTTATTCTTTAAAAGAAATTGGAATATCGTTTCTTTAATACCTTTTCCATTTTCTCCATAGACTCCACAAATGATCACCCTAACATTCGATGGTCCAGTAAACCATGAAAACTGGGACGCCTACACGAAGCACTTGTTCACTCCGGAGAGGAAGAACCCTAACGGTTGTCCGATTAAGGCGACATTTTTCGTTTCACACCCATATACGAATTACAGACACGTACAAAAGCTGTGGAATGACGGACATGAGATAGCAGTTAACTCAATAACGTAAGTTATGTACTTATGTCAATAGAAATCGTTAGCAAAGTGATGAAGTAACAGAAAATGGATTAAGACTGTAGTCGAAGATGTGAAGAGAATAGATATTGCTTGTTCATTACACATTGTATAAGAACAAGTAGACGCTTTTGCTGAAAGAATTAGATGATGTCATGGAAATTAATTATCAGAAACTGATCACGATCAGTAACCTAACAATGTGTTTTAAGAATTGCTTATCGTTTTTCTAATAAGTACCTAAGCGCTTTGGTCGGTGCTGTAAAATTCTTAGTTTCACAACTAGGGCTATACATAGAGCAACACGGATCCGCCGGTGGCCCGTGTTGCTCTATGAGGGCTATACATAGAAGCGCCAAACATAAAGCTTCGATCTCATCAAATTACCCTCACTGTAAAATTTTTTGAATGGGTGTTGATCTTTAATATGTCTGGTTAAAGATAGAAATCCAGCATTTATATATAGATGTATGTATATGCCTTCGTATTAATTGTTCCGAATTTTACAGTCGCCGGGGTCCAGAAGATTGGTGGTCTAAGAATGCTACCGTGGAAGACTGGTTTGACGAAATGGTTGGCGAAGCGAATTTGATGAACAGGTTCGCCAGGGTTCATATGGAGGACTTCAGGTAGGTACCTATGTAATTTTATTTAAAAAAGCCTAATTGTCATATCGAATGTAATGTGCTTTTCTTTTAGGTAAACGAATGAGATTGGCACTGTAAGGTAGTAAGGAGTAAAGGAGTACTGGGTTTAAAAGTTAAGGGATTATTTTAATAAAATATTGTCTTTTCTATTTGCATTACTTTCATTCATAGATAAATGCGCTATGTTAAATGTAAGCAGTCTTCTACATTTATACGAGGGATGAGGGATTACTAGGTATTTACCTAGTTACAAGTTAAATTATCTAGACCGACCTTCCACAGAGGAATGCGCGTACCGTTCCTGTCAGTGGGTTGGAACCGACAATTCCTGATGATGCAGGAGTTCGGGTTTGTGTACGACGCTACTATAGTGGCGCCGCTGTCTGACCCTCCACTATGGCCTTACACTCTGGATTATAAGATGCCACATCAATGTACTGGTAAGATAATTTTTTAATACCTTTGTAATGAAGTTTTAATGAGGAATTAAATCGTGTTATGGCCTTTTATTTTGGTTAGGAATAGGAGAGAGAACCAAAATATAAGCAAACACGCTATGTTGCACACACTCCCTCTGCCGCTGGATGACCTTCCTAATATACTTATTGGCCTAAAGTTTTTACCTAAAAGAAGCCACATAAAAACTTTATACTAGTAAACGGTATTGATTTATATATATGTATCGTAATAAGTAGAGCGTGTGAGTGGTTAAGTAAGATGTTATGAGCGGTGATTGTCGATGACGATGCGTCGCACGCGCATCTGCCGAAGAGAGATTGCGTTCTACGCGCCTATTGTCTCTGATATTACGCATAACTACCTGGAATGCGGAATTACAGCGCTTTGGAATCACGTTTCAATCAAATCTAGCATCGTTATTGTAATATTTACAAGTAGGCTATGTTTAGGCAACTCGAAGTATAAAATACCCTTTCTCTTTTGTACTTTAAATACTTTGTAGGTGGACATAATGTGCCATGTAAAGCAATTTGCTGGTCAGTCCAGTTCTATGGTTACTTTTTGCTACTTGAAATTGAAAGTACGGTTAGCGCATTATAGTGCAGTGGCTCTGCAACCGATTACTGTTCAACGTGTCGCGGATTTGGTAAAACATTTTGAGTCTGAGTGTGAGTGTGATGACACTCACGGTCATTACACAGCATCCGACTGTGGTTTGGGGAGCAACGGTTGTTTTACAGAGATTACTTGTTTAGTAGGTACGGACGAAATTGTGCTTAGGTGCTTACCTACAGTACCTGGCGCTCCTCACAACTTCTTAAAACCTTTTAGGATTAGAGACGAACTCCTATATAAGTAATTGAACCTTATTGTAGGTGTTACTACTACTTTTACCTTCAAATACCGACGGCGCGACGTTAGAAACTCGTCATGGCAAGGCGTTAATGATATTTGTTTATAGTGCCGCGCACTAGTAAGACTGTGAAATGCAGTTTACACTCTAGTGATCACTGGACTATTTACAGTTGTATTGCGAAAGATATTATCTCTACGGGTTGAATATATTGACAAGAATCAAGAATAGGAAGTTTTAGGCCTTATTGTGTATTGCACGCAGCTCTTTCAATTGTACCTATAGTTAAGTTCTAAAATTGAAGTCAAAGACATCGCCAGTGTTTTGCCCGACTAGGTACCTAGTCATTATGTAGGCCTGAATGACTAAATCTCATCAAAAACATAAACATTTTGTAAAAAACTAGCCAAGTCTCGATGGAGCTGCTAGTTTATCTCTAAAAAGTAATGAAATATGACAAAGTCTAAGGTTCCTTATTGCGATTTCGTTATTATTATAGTAAATGTTGTGTAACTGCCGTTGGAGGGTACACAAGGGTACAAAACCGTGCCCCCAGATTGATGTGAATCCGATACTCACACACATCTACTTTTCAGGTAACAATCAATATTGCCCCACGCGAAGTTATGCAGGGATATGGGAGATGGTGATCAACCCTCTTTCGAATGGTGACCATACATGTGCCACGCTGGAGTACTGCCCATCCACCATGTCTGGTGAAGACGTGTACAACTTACTGGTGAACAACTTCAAGAGACATTATCTAAAGAACAGAGCTCCATTCGGCATTCACTTGAACTCCACTTGGTTTAAGAATAATGAATATTTACAGGCTTTCAAGGTATCTATACTACCTAATTATCAAGTTATTTTATCTACCCCTCTCCAAAAGTAGATTTAAATAGAGAATATCGGTCTTTTACAGAGACAGATGTAAAAAGATTCTAGCCTATTATTAGATATTTCCAAGCGTAAACACTATATTAAATACTTTAAATCAAAATTACTTTCATTTTTCAGAAATTCATATCAGAATTGGCGAGAGTACCAGATGTCTACTTTGTAACTTACAAAGAACTGATCGACTGGATCAAGAGACCCACACCAGCTCTACAGCTGAAGAAGTTCCAGCCATGGCAGTGCAAAGAGCAACATTTCGAAGAATCAGAAATCGCGTGTGGCAAGCCTAACACGTGTAAATTACCATCTAAAGTGTTGCAACATGACAAATATATGATCACCTGCACAGAATGTCCCAAAAGCTATCCGTGGATAAGAAACGAATTTGGATTTGATTAATTATTATACTATTATTTAATTTATTCAAAATACACCAGTTACCAACTTTAATTTAGAATAGTTTGATAGGGGACCTGAGATTTCTTTTACCTTTTATTATTTTCTTAATTTAAATGTAAGAATATCAAGACATCTGTTTCATAAGTACATACCATATATGTTTGTTTCACTTTTTAGTGATGTTTTTACCTATTCTCACAGTATTTAATTAAAAAACTACAAGACATTTTAGTTGTATGTGTGCAATAATTTATTAAGTAGAATGGTTTAGAAATTGTGTCTGTTTTAATAAAAATACCATAATTATGTTCTTATTATTTTAATATTTACTTAATTTAATTTATAATTACAGCTTAAGATAAGGTATACACTTATATAAGTAAATATTATCCTTCCTGAGTTATGAAAGGATTTGGAATAGCTTCCATGCCATCCATCGGACATATTAGAACAACGGAGGTACCTCTGCATACGACCAGACCAAGTGCTCTTGTGTCATCTAGCAGTTTGTAGGGATCATCAGGATCTGTAAATCAATTATTTTATGATGTTAAAAATGATTTATGAAGCTACATTCTGTTTGATCTGCTAATAAATTGAATATTGTTAAGGATCAGAGTTGACACATTAATTTATTTTGTCTTAACATTATAGTATTAAGAATTCAATTGATGTTAATAATTGTAAATAGGACTTAAAACCCAATTTTTAATTACCTAATATCATATCTATTAGGAATTTAAACTGTCAAACACCCTGAGGACACCGGTGACCGTAACCTATTGTTCTTAAATTGAGTCTATGATGACGGCATTCAAAGGGTTAAGATATAATATACATTCATGAATACTTATCTAAAGAATTTAATGTGGTTTATTTAAAATTAGACTCAAGTATTCAATCAGTATTCTTCAAACACATGTTACCTTTGTAGTTACAATTATGAATGACTCTCCACATACCTTAACTTTTCCTTACAGTAAATAACACAAGAAGGAAGCATTTAGTACACAAACTAATATTTTTGTTCCTAAGTTAAAATGTAAGTATATTGTTATTTATCATCGTTGTAGTGTTATATTACAACGCAATACAAGATAAAATGTGAAACTTTACCTCTTAGAAATTCTGTGGTGTTATCCAAAACCAAGTTTAGAAGTGGATCATATCCCTTTAGTATCCCCGCCGCTTCTCGCCCACCAGCGAATTTGACACGAATGCTCTTCTCTAAATATTTACTAAGGTCAAGAATAGACTCCTTCCTCCTCTTTTCTTTATTATCTCCAGCACCCTGAAAAGACTAGATATTATAATCACAATACTAGATAAACATCAAGTTTCAGGTTTGCTGAAACAACTAAAGTGTAATAAATACAGGATTCTATAGTGACTTGGTTACCTTTCCTTTGTCACCGCCTTCTTTGGAAGCCATTTTATGGAAAAATTAATGAATTCAGTTAGAATAATACGATCATAAAACTATTCGGCGTCTCAAAACAGTACGACGAGCAAACGATAGAATTTTGAGGTTACTTTACTTTGACATTCATTCCACAGATCACTCTAAACCATAGATGAAAAATATCTAAACTAGTCAATTCATTCGTTATTCATTCAATTTACATTATTTTGTATAAATATTAGGCTAGGACTAAAATGCTAAATATATCAATTTGTTAAAATTAAGTTTCTTTTTATACAATTTGTTACTGTAAAAGATATACGATAATAATTATATTTTTAGAATACCAAATGTGGTGTCAGATTATGTACGTATACATGTCCTTGCAACTTTTATACAACATACTGCATAGTTTCTCTGAAACAAGAAATCAATGTAGGAAATGAAAAGCATTGGCTTTTCTAAACGACAATGAAACAAAAACAATAATTATGAAGAAATAGTCATAGCGTTTAAAATAACATATTTTAATACGTTACAAGTAATGTCAAATAGCTCAGCTGTGACAGCTATCAACTGTCAAAAAACAAAAGTCTAATTAGATGTCAAAATACGCCCCGTTACGTTAGGGAAAAGTCGCGACGTAAACAAATATCAATAAATATACATTATTTTAAATATTCTTTGTTAAGAAACACTAAGGGGTCTTTGAGAATTAAACATATTGGCGATGGATAGTGAAATTGCTGTGAAACGAGTTAAATATCGTGATTGATAATCAAATGAGATATCAATGCGCTCTTCGGTGAGCTACATTCTGTCTCACGCGCCAGGAGAGTCGGTGATGTCGCACCCTGACTACTCGCAGCATGCCCAGCACCATGCGTGCCTGCTGGTGCTCGTCAAGGGCATCGGCGGGATGCTCAAGAACTTTAACAAGCTCTGGGAGAGGATACAGAGGGTCAACAATATTAAAGTTACTGGTGAGTACAATAAACACCTTCGATTCTTATTAATTCAGAAACTAGATCATGTCAGTGGGTCGTAATATGAGTGGAATGTTAACATAACATGCAATGAATGTAAGAATTGTAATGTCTGTAATACATTTGATTTATTCAGAAATGTAACTAGTCATTTCAACTCATTAATTCCTTTATGATATGATGTATGGTGATATTGTGTAACTATATTATGCTTGTATCTTAATTGTAGATTCAACTGGCCAAGTAAGAGACATATGGGTGAGATATGTCCGAGATTATCCTGTGGAGAACAATGATTGGGGTGATTTCCAAACTCACAGGTAATTTGTCAAACAACTAAAGTTTCAATGGCTATACTTAGGTATAAAATCGAGTAAAATAATATTTTCCTCTAAATTAATGGGCACTTAGACTAGACTCTAGATTCTAGAGTGTAGTGAAAATGTAGAAAATTGTACTGAAAAAAGCAAAAAATGATGTAAATATACTTACATAAATTCCTTAAAACTTATATTTCAAATTTGACTGCACGGTTGGTGCGGTGGCTGGGCAACCGGCTGCCGTGTAACATGTCGCGGGTTCGATTCCCGCACGGGACAACACTTTGTGTGATCCACAAATTGTTGTTTCGGGTCTGGGTGTCTTTGTGTATGTGAACTTGTATGTTTGTAAACGCACCCACGACACAGGAGAAAATCCTAGTGTGTGGCAAAGACTAAAAAAAAAAAAAAAAAGTTGGAGGAAACCATAAGGAAGCTAAAAATTTCATTGAGAATTAACATTTAGAGAATTTAGAGAAATATGTAAATATAATTTGAAACAAAATAGCTCTTAAAAATTAATTGAGAATACGTAACAAAATTAGCCTACAAAGTAGTACTTAAATATTCCACCTACACAGTCTACCCACATGTAATTAGTGATTACATAGCTGATAGTTGGATTTCACACGGGTGGGCACACAGTTTCACAAATGTTTGCTAATTGCCCATATTACTTGGAATTAACGAATAATATTCATTTAGGCCTTAACTAACGAGTTTAGGTTGTATATCAAGTAACAATTATTAGTATTAATATAATTATCTTCATGCCTCTTGCTCCTGTAATGGGTAGACCAATGTAATGTAAATACCCAATGTAATCCTATAGTACTGTAGTAGTATCTTTCCTTTAATATTTTGTAAAACAGATTTTTTTATCAGAATTTGATTACAAAAATACAAACTCGATATGACTTCTTTTAACTCACTGCATTACGCTGTAGTAACTATAAAATAACTTCAATAATAAGACTTATTCTATGAATCATAGAGTATATTTTCCTTTGTGTCAAAACTGCATACATTGTAACTAAAATGCAATACAATAGGAAGGCTTACTTCCTTGAAATGATGTCAAAATGTTCAATATGAAGTTAATTGGTAGTGCTAACTCCCAATATGTACAAAACTACTTGTATTGGTGCAATCAGGAAATATATTGTTACAAAATGCATTGGCAGCACTGTTTATTACTTTTAACAATCGTTAATCGTTAATTTTAATGTCTGGGGATAAGATAAATTGTTTGGTATGAAAATTAAATGCTTTTGTTTTTTTTTTCAAATGTAAGATATTTTGGAATAAAATATGGTTATAGGTATATCAGAAACCAGTTCCACCTAGCAAAAACTGACCTATGTTTTACCATAAATCAATAATTAAATAGTAGATGTGTAAAAAAATAAACTACCACTGTGAGTAAGATTTATGACTTTTTACAGTAAAAAGACTTTAATTTTCCTTCCACAGGCGATTACTAGGTCTAATAACACTAAGTAAGTTCACAAACCAAGTGGAACTGAATGAAGTGTGCAGAGTCCATGAATCACTAAAGGTGAAATATTCCAACACCCTGTATGACTCGCGCGCGTTTATGTTCGGTCCGGTCAGTAACATGAAGAAACCAGAACAGGAACCTGAGACTTACAGCTATTATGAGGAGGACAAGCCTTTGAAAGATGGGACCAGTGATAAGTATGTATTGAAAAAATAACTTTTTACATAGAAAACACAGTAAAAGTATAGACTAATGAGTTAAGATTCCACCTCATCACCTCAGGATCTTTGCAACATAAAACATCCAATCTAACAACCTATTTTAAGACACAAAATAACATGACATAGTATCTTCCCTTTAATTCCCCAAAAGTAAGATGATAGATGGATATAATAATTCTTAACACTATAATAATCAAATAACCTTCCATTAAATTATATAATAAGGTTTTATCATTATTAAAATAAGTATTAAATTTGCTTTAAACCCCTATTCATTGATTAAAACTTCTTAATTTAGTACCCAGTGAAATATTTATGTCCTGTACACATTTGTTACAGAGCATCTCTACCAAGTGATCAAGCAGACAGTCTAACCTCCTTAGAAAGCTTCCCACCATCCACATCTTCAAACTCCTCTTATCCACTACAAGAAGAACACTTCACTACTCCATCCAACTTCAAGACCCATGCCATGTTCTATGGGGAGAATGACCCAGTGCCAGATCTAGAACAAAATGTAGCTGACCTCATCAATTCTCTCTTCTGGGTGGTAGAGTCCAAACGTTTGGAGAGGTCCAAGGAGAAATTGGACAAAGTTTCATTGTTACTGGCGCCTTTCGAGAAGAAGGATTTTGTTGGTGAGTTCAAATATACTTTTGTGTTGCATAATTTGTCATTGACACTCACTGTTTAAACTGCTCTAGTCTAATATTAAAACATTTTGTGTCAGAGATTTGTATTGGGGCGGAAGACAAATATATAATACTCTATCTTTACCATAGTAACACAATATATTTTACTTCTCTTAGGTCTCGACATGGAGTCTCGTAACAATAAGAAACGTTGTATGGGCCGTGTGACCAAGAACCTGGCAGATCTGACGCTGCAAGCCGGGCTAGTTGCAGACAGTTTGAGTCTATACAACTCTTCCACTGAACTACTCAAGACTGACTGGCTGTGGCTGGCTGCAGCAAAAGAAGGTAAGAGATTTCGGAGGCTTTATTAAACTTCGTTTTTATCATTTTACATTAGGCACCTGACCCGGCATAATAAAGCAAAATAACCTATGTTATTTAAATAGCGAAGCGATAAACATAAATTTTCTGAATATTTATTTACATAAAATTGTTCACAGGCCTCTGCACAGCTTCAGCAATACTTCTTTATCCGAACCTTCGGAATCCTACCCCCTTACATCGAAACGCAAGTCTGCAAGAAAACTCTCCTAACAAAGCGAAGCAGCTCTCTCTATTTCAACCTAATTCTGACTCTTTAAGGAAATTGAAGCTTAATTCTTCTCCCTTAAGGACATCGAAAACATCTAGTCCCGTCAATCCACCGAGTGAATTGACCCCCACTTCTTCAGACAGTGTCGAAACCTCCTCTAGACAATCGGAAACTGACAATGCGGACTCTGAATCTCTTGCGTCCTCCAGCGATATTGAGTACCAAAGCCACAAGTCACAGTCTTACCTAGCTCCCGACCTCCCATCTATTCCTCGACAACCACCTTCTCAAATTACTAATCAATTTTTACTAAATGGGGAAGAAATCGCTGAGAAATATCGCGAAGCCATAATGGACTATAGCAAGTATAAGAATGCTGGTGTGATCGAAACCGAGGCTTGCTTCAAAGCGGCCAGGATTGCAGTAGAACAGTGTAACAGTTTACATGCTTCCAGTTTCTTACAAAATGTTATTTTTATCAATTTGACTTTGAGCGAACAGGAAAAGATTCAGCGGTTCGAAACTTTGGCGGAACTTTATAAGGAAATTGGTAGGTTGATGTAATACTAAACTTTAATCATAATTTAACTCGTCGAGTACCGGTTTTATAGACACAATTAAAGAACAATAGGTCGCGGTCACCGGTGACCGCTTGGTGTTTGACAGTTTAAACTAAATTACTACTAATCATGATTCTTCTATCTTGCTTCAAATAAAATTTGGTAATGATAATTTGAGATTTAAAAAAAAGTAAAGTATGACTTTCAAGTGTACA